GGGGTTTTTATGTAAAAAATTATTCACTGCGAGCTCTCAAGCGCTCAACAAATTTGTGGAGCAATTTGGAGCTCAAATGGGCCACATTGGTAACATGAGCCTAAGGAGGCTAGTTAGGAGCTTGTTGGAGCATCTCCAACAAGCTCTCACCGCCACCTCAGCCTTAGGATCGAGGTGGGGTGAGATCTTGTTGGAGATGCTCTAAGAACAAGTGCAGCAAGCTCCCAGTTGGGAGTCCTAGTCAGCAAGCTCTCAAGAGCTCTCAAGCATTTTAGAATAAAAAATTAACAAATTAAGCCTTTGGAGGCATTCCTTCTTTTATGGAGCTCCAACAAGCTCCTAGTTAGGAGCTCCAACAATATCAAAAAACCCCTCTTCTATTTTCATAACTCAACGGTAAGAAATTTTTTCACTCAATGGTTCATTTTTTACCCTCAACGGTTCATTTTTTTCACTCAGTCTCATTTATTACACTCAACTGTCATTTTCATTGTGAATAAATTCCTCTCAACAACGCCAAATCCCCAATTAAACAAATAAACTTCATCCTCTCCCTTCGACAGACAACTCCACCCCCAAATCCTTTCCTTCGACCGAACCCAACCCCAAATCATCTCCGACCCGACGCAACCCCACCCCAAATCCACTTCGCCGCCATCATCTCCAGCGTCGGCATCGTCACCATCGTCGCCGGCACCCCAGTCGGAGGCCTCTTCGCCGCCAGAAACATCCCTGCGCTCCACAAACTGGTAAGGGATAGTTTTGAGGGGGGGTTTTGTAAATTTTTAGTACTTGGGAGCTCCCAAACGCTCCACAAATTTGTGGAGCACTTGTGAGCTCCCAAGCTCTCAATGTCCACGTCAGCCACATAGGCCTTGAGAGGGGGCGCAAAGAGCTCCTTGGGAGCTTGCTGGAGGGCTTGCAAACTTGACTTCCGCCACATAGGCATTGAGAGGGGACGCAAGGAGCTTGCTGCCCTTGCTCTAAGCGAGGAGGAATGCAAATTGTGATTAATTAATGCCATTTTATCCTGTACTTGACTTTGAATATCCGGTTGCAAATTATGTGAGCCATTAGTTCAGTACGTCAACTGTTCATCTTTTATGTTGGAGCATCCACAGTTTGGGATCTCTTCTCCTGAAGAACAACGGAAAATCGTAGTTCTTTGCAGATCAAGAAAACTCTTGCACCTTCCTCCTCAATCCATCAAGAAAATTTTTATATAGGACCATCCGGAGCATGTTAAGAGCAAATACTGTGACGAATCCATAAAAAGCATTGCCGTCAATAACCAAACAGCCTGGGAAAATAAGCACAGATCTCAGATTAAACAATTCACAGGCTGAAAAACCAGAGAAACAAATAGAGCATATAGCAGACAACAACTATCTTCAGGTTCTGGACGTCAAATAACACGTTAAACGTCCCCCCAAAAAACTCTGCAAAGTCTTTCTTCCAGCAAAAATTTATCACAAATAAAAGCTCATTCTACAAACTTGAGGAAAAAGAGAACAATTAACTAGCCCACTGATGATAAACTAGAACTTGAGCGAATTCCTGATCTCTAGCCGGTGATATTCTGAGACTTGTTGAGAATGACTCCCTCATACTTAACCTGGAACCATTTCATGGCATCATCCTTGGTCACCCTGTGATTATTAACGGTTTTGAATGAATAGAACTTTTCACATGGCTCGATGGAGGGTCAAACGACGACGGGTTCACCCAAAACTTGGTGTGTTAGGGTTTTAGAATATGTCGATCAAGTTCAACGGAGCGGATCATCCATAATGTCGCTCAATCATGTGATTTTAGAGGCGTCAAGGAGG